ATCCACCTGGGCATGTCCTGCCCCTCTGTCTCCACGAGAGTCCCCAGGGCTGGCCCATCTGGGCATGTGCTGTCCCTCTGTCCCCATGAGAGTCCCCCAGGACTGGCCCACCTGGGCACGTGCTGTGCCTCAGTCCCCAAGAGAGTCCCCAGGGCTGGCCCACTCAGACACGTCCTGTCCCTCTGGCCCCACGAGGGTCCCCAGGGCTGGCCCACCCGGGCACGTCCTGTCCCTCTGTTCCCACAAGAGTCCCCAGGGCTGGCCCACCCGGGTACATCCTGTCCCTCTGGCCCCACGAGAGTCCCCAGGGCTGGTCCACCTGGGAACGTCCTGTCCCTCTGGCCCCACGAGAGTCCCCAGGGCTGGCCCACCCGGGCACGTCCTGTCCCTCTGACCCCACGAGGGTCCCCAAGGCTGGCCCACAGGGGTATGTGGTGTTCCTGTGTCTGCTGGCCTTGTGTGCCCTCCAAGGCATGCTGAGTCATGGTTGAGTTGTGCTGGCTGTGGGCTACTGATGTGATCTTGCAGCTGGGTAGGAGGTGGGGTGTGTCCGTGCCCGGGGACCCTAAGGCATGTTTTGGGTCAGTGTGCACGGCTGTTGTTTGGGGGTGACCCTCTGCACACTTGTGACCCAGCAAGGGCAGGATGGGACATCTTCTCCAGCCCCGGCTTCCCCAGGCCCTGTCTTAGTACTGCTGCGAATGGTCACTCCTGTGGGAGGTGAGCTGGGCTCCGGGGTCACAGATCCGTGGACACGGCCCCGGGGTCACAGCCCTGCTCTGTTTGGCAGCCATGAAGCTGCTGACAGCGCTGGCCAGCGTGAACCAGGGCATCTGCACGAACAGGCGCAGGTCCCAGCGGCTGTGTGAGGTGGAGAACATCGCCAAACTCAAGGGCAAACACAAATACTGCATGGAAGTACTGGACCAGCGCAGACAGCAGGTGCAGGGGGCGGGGCCGCCATGTGGGGGCGGGGCCAGCAGCAGACGCCAGGGGTGGGGGCGGGGCCACGGAAGGAGGGCGGGGCCAGCAGACGACAGACGACGCCAGCGGCGGGGGCGGGGCCAGCAGCAGACGCCCGGCGGGGCCAGCAGGAGACGCCAGCGGCGGCGGGGGTCGGGGCCACCTGAGAGGGGGGCACACAGGTGTGAGGACGTCACTGTGTGCAGGGAGGGGACCCAGGTGTGAGGATGTCACCGTGCTGGGAGGGAGGGGACCCAGGTGTGAGGATGTGACTGTGTGCAGGGGGGGAGGGGACCCAGGTGTGAGGGCCTCGCCGGGTGCAGGGGGCAGTGAGGAAGGGAGGCAGGCGTGTGCCCGGGGTCTGGGGCTGGGCCGGGTTGATCCCCAACCTCTGTGGTTTCCGCCTCCGCCCATGGGGCGTCCGTGCGGCCGCATGTGGCCCCCTAGGCGTGTGAGCATTGTCCTGGGTTGGGGTCTCTATAATAGGGCAGCGAGCGGGGTGCAGAAACCATAGCGGTGACCCCAGCCCCTTCCACGTCCCGGTTCCGGGTTCCAGCTGGCCGCCCGTGGGGGGGGGTGTGCCCTGGCTCCCCGGGGACACGCAGGTGAACCCCCATCCCCTGTCACGGCTCAGTGACATGTCTGTCTCTCGATATCATTTGTGGGCTTGACACCTGTGGATTCTTTTACGCACAAACCGCGTTCACTTGCGTCACGTGTGAGGCCCGTGTGTCCCTCCGACCTCTGCGCCCCCGCGGTCTTCGGTCTGCGCACCTGGGAGGTCACTTCGCTGCCCAGTGTCCACAGCTCACAGAGCACAGGAGCCCCTCTAGGAAGATAGCTGGGCATGCGTGGGGTCTCCGCCGCTATCCCCTCCGCCAGGGCCCTGGGTCCTTCACCCTGGCCCCTGCCCCCGACCTGTGCCCCATGCCCCTCACCCCCTCGCCCTTCCTCCCGCCCCCTCACCCCTGCCCTGTGCCCCTTACCCCCTTGCCTCTGCCCCCGATACCCCCACCTTCATTGTGTCACCCCTGCCTATCACCCCTTGGTCCCTGCCCCCATCCCCCTCACCCTGCCACCCCTTCGCCCCTGCCCCTCACCCCTTTGCTCCTGCCCCACCTCCCCCATCACCCCTACCGCTTGGCCCCTGTCCCTTACCCCAGCCCCTCACCCCATTGTCCTCCTTCACCGCTGCTTTACCACCCCCAACTCCTCAGCCTTGCCCTCAGCACTGCCCCTCACCCCTTCACTCCCTTCCCTTCACCCCTCCCCTTTGTCTGTTTGTCCTCATGGGTGCCCCTTCAGCCGTACCACGCACCCCTACACCGCCCC